CCCCCCCCCCGGAGTCCAGCTGCCAGGGGCACACTGATCCAAAAAGGTTGAAAACCCCTGGTCTAACCTGCAGAGAGTGAACCAGTTTGCAACAGAACAGATATGCAGGCACATGCCTGCAGTTGCTCAGGCTAGGAGCCAGAGGTGCTAGAACATGCCCTTGGCTTCAGAGAAGGGAGGGGCAGCTGGCCAGTCTGGGCTTAACTAGCCAGAGAGGGGTTTAATTCCCCTCTCTCTATCCCACCAGTAGGGACCTGAGTCGGGTCTGCCAGTTGCTCCCCTTTCCTGCTGCAGCAGCAGGCACCATGGCCCCTGAGGCAGATGAGGCAGGAGAAGGAGGGGCCTCTGCTGGCAGCAGGGTACCCCTACCTCCAGTGGCTGGGCGGGGGCATGGCGAGATGCCATGGGCTGGGCAGTTTGGGCCTGTGGAGAGGCTTTGTCTTGCCCCTGGTGGGTCCCTCAGTCCCACCAGGCCAAAGTGCCACTCCCTGGGCACACGGTGGAGTTAGGGTTGCTTTGTGGCGGGACTGCCTTTCTCAGCAGAGGAACAGGGCAAAACTGAAGAGTGAACCATCCTAGTCCACTTACGCTCTTTCTTGTCAGTTGCCACCAGCAACAAAACATCTATGCAAACATAAGTGTACTGATGGAAAAGTCTGCAACAATTGTTTATTTTGGCAAAGTTGTAAACTAGTGATTCTCAACTAGGGAGCCGTGGCACTTTGGGGCACCTTGAGATCTTTTCAAGGGGGCTCTACAGGTTGCCACACTATGTTAGTATTGTTAAGTTTGCAAATGTGATTCACAAAATAAATTCAGCGATTTCAAATATAAGTCATATAGTTGTGGTCTTTGAGTTCTTTGCAACAGAAAAACTGCTTGCTTAGTTTTCACTCCATTTTTTTTCAGTAGTTTAAAAAAAAGAAAAAAAAAGCTGGCATTTTGCAAAGTGTGCTGTGAGTCTATCGAGAGGTACCCAAAGTCTCAAAATATTGAGAACCACTGGTGTAGACAAAATGTGAGATTTTTCCCACAATCCTGTGCCTGATGGCTACTCTTAATAAATATTATTTATAAATTAAATGGAAATAAAATTCATTTGAAGTCAAGTTTGTGGTATATGGTAGTGCATTACAAATGGAGACTGTGAATAATGCTAATGTGTTTCCTAGGAATACTGAAGAATGAGTCTGCTCCCATTGACTCATCACTTTATATGAATACGTACATGTGGTTTGGTTTGGTTCCTTCCCCACATCTCCCTGCTCCCCCATTTTAATGTTGCATTAAGGAAATGAATGTGAGTAGAATTGCCAAAAGATACCATGTCAATTTAGTTTTTAAAGAATTAGAATTACTTCTACTCTTGGAAAATATGCAGGTGGACCCACACCCACCAACATGAACACAATTTATAAAAATGACCAAATCCTCATCTTACCTAAATCTAGGGATTTCCATTGATTTGTGCTAGCTGAGTATCTGATCTTGCATCGTCAATTTAGTTTAAGTAATTAATATGCTTGCTGTTATAAAACATGGACAAGCACTGTTGACAATATGTATCAAGGGTGCTGAATAGCAATAACACAGAAAATGCACAGAAGATTATTAAACAGTTATTGCTACACAGAGTATTTAGTTACTTTCAGTAACTGTTTAGAAGTGGGAATAGAGAGATCTAATGCGTGTTCTAGAGACATTTGATTAGCTTTTTTTTTTATCAGTGAAGCATGCAGTCTGGAGTCTAGTAAAGGAAAAGATACCTGTCTTCAATATCATCACACCCTGCCCTCCAGCTGCCAGCCTGTTCATATTCCCACATCAGAGAGGACAAAACTGTCTACCGTGGTCACTAACAGGAACAGTTGAAATGCTGCTTCAAGGTTCATTTAGCTGCGTTCAGCTCACTGCTGGGAACTGAATGCTGGTTTGAAAATGAAAAGACTTTAATGAGTTGGGGGTCTTTATGGGACTGGTATTCTTGGCAGCGATTAACAGTAGGGGGTGTACAGAAGGTCAAAAGCTCTTCTTTTGAGGGGTCAGCAGAACATCCCTGTCTGATAAGATTAAACTAATGTGCCTTTTGGTGTTAATATCTAAAGCAGCAGGCTGCTGTAATGTGTTTGGGATGGCAGACACTGAAAAAGAACTGATGGTAATTTATTATAATAGAAAATGTCAGATGATTCAAATAAGTAATATTAAAGATATTTTTGACAGGCACGCAGGAAATGTTTGAACAACAACGCTAGAGCTATTTGTACGTTCTACAGCTGCATAAGTAATTGTTTGCATTTGTGCCCCAATGCATTGTTTTATATTTAAATTCCCTTCTTCACTGTTTTTCATGTGTCTTTTCTGCACTTATTAAATATATTAAATGTACGTTAGTTGTCTGTGTTATTGTGGGTAATCCTTATGCCTGTATTTTAGTTCTCAGATTACTTTACTGGATATTTCAATGGACAGTACTGGCTTTGGTGGATATTTCTTGTACTTGGTAAGTCATAATCAAATACAAATTGTAGTTTGATGTGGTATTTCTGAAAGATGAAACAGTTGCTTGTGTATGTAAAAATTGAGTTCTGTAACATATTAAGTTGTTTCTTCATCTACTGAAAATCCTGTATGTTTTATTTCCGTTACTACCACCAAATTCTCGGTTGCCCCAGTGTTACTGTGAGAGTTTCAGATTATTTTATTAACTTTCACATTAGAATTCTGTGCTAGATATAATTATACCGATGTCTGTTTTTAAGCAAAAATCAACAACATTTGTGGCTGACCAAGGAGCAGAAAACTATGAAACTGAACTTATAAGCATAAATGTAAAAAAAATCTGTGTGAAAGTCATTAATTTTCAGTATGTACATATAAAATTTGTATACATTTGTTCATGGAGGTTCCTTAAATTTTAAGAGAGATGGCTGATCTTTGGATGATTGTATCTGCCATCTTTTATTTGAGTCATGATAACATCCTTTTTGCCTTCTGAAATGCACACTGCATTAATTATTACTCAGTCAGGCAAGGGAAAAGCTTCATGCTTTCTGATCACAGTGCTTCCGTTCAGTCAGTTTTCTTCTGAAAAGTCTGTCTGCTTAGGTTCATGCTCAGAAGTTGTATGTATTTCTAACTCTTGCTCCTTTGTCTCTGATTTCAATAACAGTGATGTCAAAAAATACTACTGTTGTAATTTTTTCCTTACACAAGTTTTCTAATTTGGTATAAAACACAGCAGATGCTTTGATTTTACTTGAGGCTGTACTACTAATCCTATTTCCTGCTGTTTCCTAACTAGAGAAACAGTAACCTGTGATGAGGTTGATACAGTAGGTGGCACTCTTCCTCTGAGTCATTTCTGAGCCAATGACCTAGCAGCAAAATGTCAGGGAATCCTATGCTGGCAGTGAGAAGCATAACCAGTCTTGACTATTTGTAATTCCTAGGAGTACAATGGCAGTATGCTTGCCACCTAAAACTTCCCTTACCCCTTAACTTAGGTAAGAGGGTTTTCTTTGTTTTTTATCTTGAATTTGCTTTTCCTCTGTACCTGCGCACTGCATAGGGCCTGGAATCTGTGGGACTTGCAAGCGCTTAAAACTTTTCATCATCAGACCCCTTAAACAGCTTCTTAGCCACCTCTGAAGCAGAACTGATGAATTTTTCAGCAGAAATGAAATAATTCTTTGCACATACATATGTGTACATGCATGCCCAGGCCAATATGTTCAAATTTGTGTGGCTAATATTCGGCTTTTAAACCCAAGTAACAGTGGCATTGTTTGTTAAAGGAGCTGTGCACCTGTAGCTTATGCTGATTTCATTGGTCTGAATGAGAACTCATAAACTTCTCAGATCAGGCCAGTTTTATTCGGGAGTCAGACTTTAGACTCTGAATTGCAACATTTTCATGGTAGTTCATACTACAAATTTTATACTTTGAAATTCATTGGGATGAAAGGCGCTGGTTGCCATTTAAATGCATAGAGTGATTAAGCATCACCCTCTTTTATAGAAAATATTTTGACTGAAACAGCTCTACTTGCATATTACAGACTTACAGATTGGAAGCTAAGCACTTCAGATGGTATTTAATTCTGTATAAGAATTATTGCCAAGTAAAAATACTTGTGTGCTCAGTGTCAAGGAATGCTGTCAGAAGTTTCTTAATAGTGCTTTGAACACCTTCCTGATTAGACTACCCTTTTAAAATATGGGTCCTAATTTTTTAATTACTTTGAAGATATAAAATAATCCATGTCCCCAGTATATGAAGTGAAGTGACAAGAAAGAAAATATTAATTTTAAAACCAGTAGATTAGCCAGCCATGATTGCTGTTGAAGACTATAAGGCTAAGTTTCAAACCTGGAAATGTGGAAACCTGACTGAGCTTGGAATCTGCTTTCAGTGTACAGGCTCTTAAAGTACTATATTATTCACAATAGAAAGCACCTGACTCCTTGACGACTACCTGTCTTCCCTCTCTGCTCTTGCAGTAGCCCTAATCTGGATGTGGAATCAGGTCAGGTGTATGTGGCTGGAGGCTCAGGCAGCAACACTCTATTCCAGATTGCCATAACATTCAGCTCAATCACTGAGTGCATTTTATCTGAGCCTCAGGGCATTTATAGACATACTTTTTGGGTCCCGCGACACACCAGAGATCCACTGCTTTGGAGCAGTGTCATGTGCAGTTATACAAGTGGCAAAATACATCTCAGCATGAAGAAAATGGTGGTGGTGTGCTTTTAAACTAAAGCACCTTCTGTGTGTTTTAGTTCAAAAGCACATCGCTGCCATTTTCTCAGCACTGACACACATTTTACTGCTTATACAAGTGCAAGCGTCGTGACGGTTGGTGCTTTTCAAAGTGCCTGGTGCTGTGGAGCTTGCATGTGTAAAAATGCCCAGAGTTGGTAATCAGCTGCATCTTCCTGAGCCTTCATCTGGGTGAATGAGTTTTTTGGTGTAGGTTTTTCCAATAACAACAAAAAAGAGCAAAAAGGGAAAATAGAGAAGATTTGTGATGAGCAGGGATCCTGGTTTCCTGTGGAAAAATAGAGAAAACTACGGATTTCCCATTTTTATCAGAGAAAACCTGGATTTTCCCTTTTAAAAGAGAAACACACGGAATACCCCCTTTTGCAAAGAGCTCTGCAGGCTGGCTGAGTTCCAGCCTCCAGGAGCTGTTTGCAAAAGGGGCGGGGAAACATTCAACTCTGTCTGGAGGGGAAGGGAGTGAGGAAGGGCAGGGCCCGACATTCACACTAACTGGAGGCTGCTTCAACTGCTTCAGACTCATCTTTCTTGCTGGAGGTAAGTGGGGCTTCAGGGTTGTGGGGCAGGGCTGGGGGGGAAGCTGGCTAGGGGCTGAGGAAGCAGGGAGGTTTGCAGCCAGCAAGGCACTCTGGCTGGGAGAGAGTGCATAGCCTCTCTGCCAGAGTGCTCAGCTGGCTGGAAACCCTAACCACTCCCCCGGCCAGCTGCAAACCTCCCCACTCCCTCAGCCCCCAGCCAGCTTGGGCGCTCCTTGGCCGGGCACTCAAGCCAGGATGGAGGGTTTGCAGCCAGCCCGGAGTAGCGGGGGTTTCCAACCAGCCGAGCATTTTATAAACCCTGGGTAGCAAACGCTCTGCTCCCTACTCTGCTGCCCTCCCCCAGGCTCTCCAGAGTGCAGTGTGTGTGACTGGCATGTCAGGGCACAGTGGGACCACGCATGAAAGCTGCCTGCCACTGCCCTGGCCACACTTCCTCTGCTTGCACGGGGGCAGTGCCCATCCGCCCTGCCTCTCCCCCACAGATCTGGGTGGCACAGGGTCCCCCTGCCGCACAGGAGTGCACGCTGCCACTGGAAGCTACCCCTGCCTGAGCCTGCAGCAGGCATCAGCAGGGAAGAAACCAGCTTGTGCTCCTGCTGTACCAGCTGATACCTTCCACTAGGGGCAGGGGGCTTGCAGACCTGGGTCACTGGCTCCATAGCCCTGGCAGCTGGGGGCCCCCTCCAGCAGAGCGGGGGGGGGAGCAGTGAGTGACACTAGCAGAGCTGTGGGGGGCATTTAACTTTAACCACAGATTTTGGGGTTTTTATCAGCAAATTTGTGATTTTTATCACGGAAAACCAGGATCCCTGGTGATGAGAGAGAAACTGATACTCTAGACAATGGGAATGGGAAGAAAAATAGAGCAATTGCACTAACTGCATTGACATGTTACTTGATGGGATATAGGGAGAAGAATGCTTCCAGTCACTGTGGCTAGAAGTAGTTTGCAGTATTGCACAATAAAAAAGTGTATTCCATTGGCATGTCAGCATCTTCAAGACAATTGCAAATAAATTGTATGCTCATATGAGTGTACAACTCTGCATATTTAAATTTAGTATACTTTAGAAAAAGTGCATTTGGGTTGGTGAACTTTTTTTTTTTTTAAGCATTCAAAAAACTTACTAGATCTGAAGGAAAACAATTAACTTGCACATAGACATTGTCATTCTGGATCAGACCCAGAGTCTTCTCTAGTCCAGCATCCTATGTCTGACAGTGGACAGCACCAGACCTGTTGAAGAAAAGGGCAAGAAACTGCAGATGTGGCATTAATACCCTTCTGACACTTAAATCCAAACTGTTAAAGCCTTGAAACATAAGGAGTTAATTCCCTTCTATAATTTATTTCAATACTTACCATAATAATAGTAGTAGTGGTGGTAGTAGTAGTAGTAATGCCTTCTATTGATGAGATCCTCTATAGCTAACATTTTTAAAAGGAGTTGTAAGTGTTATTACCCCACTTCATATATGAGCAAACTGAGGCATAGAGAGGTAAAATGATCTCCTAAGTTTGTCTATCAGACAAGCGGCAGGACTGCTGACTTCTGGTCAAGTTCTCTGTCTGCACTATGCCACATTGCCTTCTCTTTTCTGGTTATGACTCTTGTTCAAAAAAATGTCCTGTGCATCTTTGAACTGATAAGTTATTGCCATCAACAGTATCTTGTGATAGTGAACTCTTTCATCGTCTTATACACTGAAACATGGAAAAATAACTTTCATATGATAACAATAAGAAGTCCTTCTTTAAATACATAGGGGGTAAAAAGAAGGTCCCGGGTAATGTGGGGCCCCTGCAGGATACGTTGGGAAATTTGGTTGTCACACCAGACGACACAGCTATCATGTTTAATGATTTCTTTGCCTCCATCTTCCTAAGTAGGGACCAGAACAGCCACCTCCCTGCTGGGCCCCCCTTGGGCCCCAGGCGAGGCACACATGGGCCAGGGGTTAGTGAGGAACTAGCTAGGGAGCTTCTGGAGGGGCTGGACGTATTCAAGTCAGCCGGTCCGGACGATCTCCACCCTAGAGTTATAAAGGAATTGGCCGAGGTCGTTGCAGGACCCCTGGCACAGCTTTACGA